CCGAGAATAGAGATAGAATGATGATATAACAAAATTGAAATAGTTGTGTATCCCATGGATATTGTTTTATATGATTTATAATTATGTAGATATCAGTAGCCAGCGCGTTTAGTACCTAACGTGGCAGACCTGCCGCGGAAATACAGCGGTGGGTCGAGGCCTGCCGCGTACGGTAAGTCCATAATGATAGGCAGAGGAAGAACACCGTGGTTTTAGCCGGTAAGAGTCATACACCCCGTCGTATTCAAGACGTAGACAGGCCATGAGGATTTCCAATGCGATATAAAAAAGAGCGTTTAGTACAATAAATTTTAATTTGGCCAGTCTTGCACAAAATTAGTGCTAAGAAGTAAGAGTCCTAGAGTATTGTGATAAGGGTAGGCTGTCATAATGTATCTGTATCTATAATAACTTTGGTTGCACTTTGAACTATTTTGATAAGTATAATCTAAGATGACGAACTTAATTTTTATCTAAGAATGAGACAAATCTGTCAAGTTTAGAGTACTTAACTGATGTTATACATCATGATCTAGTGAGATATATTCCTCATAAGATATACAAATAATTATGTACCGGTAAAGCAGTAGCGGCACTGTACGTGGTAGAATAATTTATCGTCTAGACGTCGCGTCTTCGTCCTTACAAAATCGTTACAGATATAGCTGTAATTAGCGTTAGCCATCTACTCAGAATGCATGCTACCGCTTACGGTAAAAAATTCAATCTAGCCCAAAAATTTTAATTTCGTTTACATTTTAGAAAAAATAGATCTATGTATTTCAAGAAACTTTCAAACGAGAACATACTCATGTAGAGAGCTATTTTCGAGTATTGACTGTTGATGCGATAATTTATTTTATGATATTTTATCATACCTACACATACAACAAGATCATCGTTTACAAACGGATTTAATAAAAATGAGTTGAGGTATAACATAAGCAGAAAAGTAAAATTTATGGGCGTAGGAAAAATTATGGTTACAATTAAATGATAAATAATAATTATTTCTATAAGTAGTCAATGTGTTACTTCATCCAAAATTGTCGTTCGCAACGTGGGGCATTCAAACTTACATGCTCAATATTACAAGTTAAAAATTTTAAAATTTTATAGTAGGTATACATAATTATTATAAAATCTAATATGCATCAATTCCTACGAGTTACATCGATTGTTATTTTATAGGAGCACTTAAAATTTGATAAGTGGTAACTTACCAATGTAAGTATGCAAATTATATTTACAATAGAATTTGTTATTAAAATAAAAACTCGTACATAATACTGTTTAAATTGTGTACTATCGTATATAATAAAAACTGAGCTTCAATTTGCGACATATTTAATTTTATGAAATCATTCAGTACAAATACGTGTATCTGGATATCTGATAGCTTAGCTCTGATATGTTGGGTTTAAAAAACTTATCCCTGGTAATATGGGGAATCAACTATTTTATACTTGATTAATTGATAATTTATTACTACACTCCACTCGATATAACTAGTTTCATAGGGTTGTAATATTACAAAAGATCTAATTTCATAAGGAACTATGACACAATTAGTTTAAGATCTAATTTATTTAATTATTTTGAAGTTACTTCTAAAAGCGGTTCTTTATCCTTAGCATCACTTAAATTCATTGTGACATTACTTACTGGATTTTTAAAATACATAGCAACAGCGATACTGACTAGACAAATTGATAACACGGTAAACGGTGTTATCACAATACTAAATAGTATGTAACATACTACAGCTGTTATTACCAACTCTAACGCACTTGCGTATGTTTTCAAAATGGAATTTAAATTTTTCAAAAAGAAACTTGTGACTATGCCAACCACAGCACTGTTTATGGTTATAAGTATTACAAAAATGTTACCTAATGAACTGAAATCTTCAAATATTGTTCCCAATTCACCTTTGAACATTAAAATAAAGAAGTTACAGAGGACAGAGTCCAGATACATGAACACATTTTGTAAGAATATATCAACATTAGAACCTTTCGTTTTCAACAAATATTCATTGTATGTACCAGCCAGACAAGAACAGAAATTTTGGAAATTTATAGATAAGAAATAAATATTGAATAATTGTGACCAAAGATCGGTCTCGTCTTTCGATTGTATTGATGCGGCGTCGAAATTTTTAATCATGCATCCAAGTGTCAGTATTCCCAGTGATATCCACTGCATAAAAGCCAGTTTCTTCTTGAACAAGAACTGAAAATAAAAATAATATTAATTCTGGTTCTGCAGACGTTAAGTTTTCATAACAAACATGACAGTGAGTAACTGCAAACACAGATAACGTTGTAGGTACATTCTCTATAAGCACAACATTTGGATATGGTATAAAATAATAATTGTTATTGCATATAATTATAAAAAAAATATAATTATTTAAGTATGTCCCATTCAGAGGTGTATTATAAGGCAAACTAGGCAAGTACCCAGGGCGCTCTCTAGGATCAATCCGCCTCTTATCCCATTACTAGAAGCATGTCTAGTCATAATAATATAAAATATTATGATTTATTATGCTATTGTCTTCTGACCTTCGAAGCCTTACATTATCACAATAGAATAAGTTCCGATTGTTCCTTTAAATGTATTCAAATTACAAATATTACTTTCAGTTTAAACAAATTTTGCATAGAATAGTTAGTAAAATATGTAGTGTTTCGTACACTTGACACCTGTGTATAAAGCAAAATCACTTGTATTGTACAGATTGTACTAGGTATGATCTCCTATGTAAGGAGCTCATACCTAGGTACCTTATACTAAATAATTATATCTATTACATAATACATTTGAATAAAAATACAATTATTGCAAAATTGTTATAGGTAGGTAGGTACTGACTCTGTTTGACATGCACCCTATACGTTTCTACTGTGTGACTGAGTACTGTAACTGGCAGATAACAGAATGTAATTTATTGTCGTTGTATACTATCTAGAGATAATGATATTTGCTGTAAGTAGTCATTGTTACATACCTGAAAGAGTAAAGCTGTCAGTACCACTCGGAATTGCAATAGAATGTAGTACGAAGTGGGGTCATAGTGGGACAGGTTTATAAACGCCAAATTGTTGTAAAAGCAGTACAACAGTGATGGGATGAAGTACATCAACAGGAGCTCATAGTTCATAACAATAGCCTTGAACAGATGTGGTTTATTTCTGGAAATATAAAAAAACATAATTAGGTAATTTCCTTATTTATTTATGACGCAAAGAAGTAACCTAATTGAAAATTCTACCACCGGTACTGACATCAAGTTCGAAAGGGTACCAGTACCCACAAACCGTAAACAAAATTGTATAAGATTAATTTTAGTGTTACTATTAATTTAGACTAGTTATATCGTTGAGTTTTACTTCGTTGAGGAGTTATGAAGAAAGGAATTGAGTGAGAAAAAGAATAATTTTATTGGAAGGTCACAAATATAATTTTCCCTAAGGGCTTCATGCCGAGAGGAGTCTACTCGTTAGCGTGCATGTTGCTGGGTCCAAGCGCCCCCAGGAACTAAGGCACCTTACCTCAATGTGCGGTGTCTGTAGAGGTAGACAGAGGATATCCCTAGCTCATAGGAACAGCACGAGTTCTAGTAACAACCAACTCAGAGGCGGCAGTGGTGGGTAGTTGGATACTTGTCACACGGCACACAATTTGTTCTCACGGGGCGAAAAGCGGGCTGCAAGTTTAGCTACACTAAATGTGCAAGGATGCATAAAATAATGACATTGGCAAAGAAAAGTTACATAAATAAAGTACTTCAATTCAAATAATGAATAATAACGGCGTAAATGAGTGTGCATGTGACAAAATTAGAGGGAGTCTCTTATTATGGACGATGAACCATAGCAACAGATAGGTATATGGCATGGCAAATAGTTTGTGATAATCCATCTGTCTGGATATTGGAGTTATCCTCATCAAAGACAGCACCTCACGGAATGGATCATGATGTCATTGAATATCGGATGAATTTGTTGAAGTCATTGATATCGATGGTTTAGGTTAGATTCCGATTCAAGCATTAACTGATGAGTTTCTTGAGGTAGGTATGTAGGAGGACATGGCAAGATGCCGATATCAAAATATGAGTGAATGTGGAAAACTATATGGTTGGACTAGCTATGACTGTGTTTCAGTGCCAACACTAGGTACCTTATCAATCATTGGGCAGAAAAAGCGCAAACAGTAACAAAACGCAAGCAGCTATATAGAGCCAATACGATAGAAATGCATTTCCTGAGTTGTACGTGCAGTGTCACTGTGAGATAAGAAAACCTTGCAATATTTAAGACGACGTGCAGACGTGCTAACAAGAACAAAGTGAGATTTATGTAGTTAAAACGATGGTGATTTTGATACCTAATTGAATTAAAGATAGGGTTAAATAAGTTAATTAAGATTCGTAAAAGCTAATCTTAGCTTATTGTAAACTTAAGTAGGTTGCGTTAGTAGAAATTTTCTTAAAGTCATTAATAACTAATTTCCGGAAATTAGGTAGGTTCTAGGTAAGGTTAAACTTATATCTGCTTTTACCACATCGAATCGAATAGGTAACCACAGGAATCGGGTCTGAAACTTAAAGTCATCGCTTTGTACATACCTACTTACTTATATCAAAATATAAGTAGGTATACATATTTATACCTACCTGAATATACATGCACATTTTAAAATATCTATTAAGTATTTTCTACATGATATAGGCCAATATTTGAACATGACTCGGTGTTCAAGGTAAACCACATACATGGCCTCTTAGACTGGTTTCTAAGATAATTTTATAATTAATCAGATTCTAAATATTCCAGTACAAATAGAGTAAATTTTCTCATTTGCTAAAAATGGATACAGCTACGGCTAACTATTTAGAAATATGTAGTATTTTAATTATTATAGTGATGAAACGCTTCCTGTACCTGTAGTTACTATTTTAAGTAAGGACAACTTGTCGCGTATTGATCTATATTCTAACTACGCGAAGCCGCGTCGGTGCTGAATGTGCATGCGTGTAAAAGAAGAACTAGATACCAAAGAAATACCATGGCAATGAGGAATAATATAAAAGAAAGATAGTTATTTGAAATTATTTTTCATTGGATAATTTGACGCCTGAATCCGTCCGATCAGTATTAAACGTCAACTTATCTAATGAAAATTTTCTATTAAGCAGTAAGATAAAAAGAAAATATGGTGCCGTCCCCGAGTAGCTTAGAATAAAGTAAAGAAGAAGTATTAAATATTAGTATTATTAAAGGTACTTACATATAAACCACGTAAGGTTTATTGCTTTTTCTACAAACGCTGAAAAATTAATTTAAAAGGATCTCTTTGCATTCTCAATAAAACAATAGATATCTTTGACAAAGTGAATAAATCATCATTAGCCTGTTTCCGTCCACTGCTGGGCAAAGGCCTCTCCAATAGCACGCCACGAATAGGTACTGTGTGAATCAATACGTTTAGTATGTAGTCAGGAAACAGAATGGAGGTGAAATGTTAGTACGGCTGTCCATCCAAACTACGTACCTATGTACCTACAATATTTTTTCCCAAAATGTAAAACGGGCAATTGGTATGTCTACCTATAAAACCGATAAATTTGTTTTCACCGGATTAATGAACTAAGTAAAGCAGGTTCATTTTAAGTCAGACAGACGTTTTAACCGATAGATGTTTGATTCTACTATTTACACTCAAGCTACTGGTTCAACTATGTTATGTCATTCTCATTAGGTACTGCCGATTAGTGCCGAGTTTCATATTTCCACCACAAAATCAATATATAGGTAAGTAGGTAATTAATAAGTACATGCAGTAAGTGACGGTCTTTAGTTTCTGCCTACTTTCGTTAGTTTTTGTCGGTATGTTATTTTCGACCAGCCGCAGTGCGATTCTGTAACACACTAATTCGACATCGAAGCTTGGAAGAATAATTTCATGAGTAACATACTCTTAAATTCGGTTCCGTAATTTGTAAACAATTAAGTAAGTTTCGAGTTTCGATAGTTCGTACTAATTGTGCCTGAAGCCTGAACGTCATCTAAATGTCTTTGCAGATTTAGTGGGCCACTGCAGCGCTGTGATGCATATAGTATGTGCCTGCCATATTCATTCATTTCACCTTTTCTAAGGAAAAGGTGGCAAACGATCAGACGAATCATAATCTGATAGTAAGTGATAAGCACCGCCGATAGATATCGGCAACATAAGAAGGAAACGTTATTTTTTGAAAATACGAAACTGCCGGTTCCATTTAAATGTAAACCAGAATTTGTAGCTTTTCGTTATCAGTCAATTGTTACAACACATCCCATACTTAAAAGACTATTCCGTCATCCTACCCACAATGCGGATAGAGTCGGGGTCAATGCTTTCTATCTTTATTTTTATTTCTACATTTTGGTATCACGTAGTTGATAGTTATGCTTGGTTACTTACACGAATCTATTAACTTTTTTTCAAGATAATAACATCTACCCAATTTTACCTATGTCGGTGGTTATTAGCATACTACTCGCTACTTTTTATTGAATAACAAGATAATAAATTCCTACCTAGTTTAAATGAGTATTTACCAAGAATTCGGTGAAAAAATGTAGGTATACTTTATACTACTTTTTTTTTAAATATATAAATTCGAAGAGTTTGTCGGAACACACAAATCTCCGAAACTACTAGTCCGATTTGAATAACCTTTTTTGTTGGATAATACATTTATCGAGAAAGGCTATAGGCTATAAAATATCACACTGTGATCAATAGGAGCTGTACAAAGCGGGTAGAACCACGCGGGAGTAGGTAGAGATACTTAGTAACATATATTAAGAAACAGCAAATTCTACTTACTCTCTCTTGTACGTGTATAAGAATGCCGATGCAAACAGTTTAAGTAGTTCTGATAGGAAAACCACGAGTGTCGTATTGTAGTCATAGTCGCCATTTTCTGTTTTTGATGCAGTTACAAACACACCTGGAAATAAACAAGAACGATTAATGTCTGTACACCTGTCACAGTCTAGTCTTATGTTTAATAGCTCTAGGTACTAACATGAAATCTGAAGTTGTGTTCGGTATAAAGGTAGCAAAAGGCTTACCACATCGGATTCATATTATCCCTAAGGCTAAACTAGACAAGTTCCCAGGGCGCCATGTTACAGAGGGCGACGCGAGACACGCATACCCAACATAGAGTGGCGGTGGCGCCTACAAGTATTTGGGGTATCTACGAGAAGCTTGCCAAGGGCGCTATCTGTTTAATTCGCCTCTGTACTACATCTATAGGTACAGTGCTGGCTACATTCATAATACCTATAACTGGTGAAAAGTACATTGTGATGTTTATTATAAGCATCTTTGCCTAACCCTTCATATTGTAGTACTGTAGTAACAACTACTATACCTAAGTATTAAAGTTGGAGAGGACGGGGCCAGCGTTCAAACGCATCCTCCCCAACCTCGGGGGGCCAAACGCCTCCTGCCGGAGGTTATACGCCGGGGTCGTGCGGTCCATGGCCTTCTACGGCGCCCCTATTTGGGCGCCGAACCTACTGCGGCGGTCCGCTCGGGCGCTGCTTATGGCACAGAGGGTCATGGCGATCCGAATGATCCGCGGATACCGCACGATCTCTGGGGAGTCGGCGAACCTCCTTGCCGGAGAACCGCCGTGGGATCTGGAGGCGAAGGTGCTCGCGCACGTGTATTGCATGCGCGCAGAGGCATGTCGCCGGGGCGAAACTCCGCTGCCGCGCCAGATAAGTGCGTGGCGGGATGAGCTCCGGTGCGATCTCATGGCGGAATGGCAGCAACGACTGTCGCAACTGAGGGTTGGGCTCGCTGCCATCGCAGCGGTAAGTCCCCTCTTTGAGGAGTGACTTGAGAGACGCTACGGCGTCCTCACCTACTGCCTGACGCAGGTCCTCACAGGACATGGGAGTTTCGGAAGGTACCTGTGTCTGATGGGGCGGGAGGAAACGTCTGGGTGTCATCACTGCGAGGACCGCCCTGAGGACACGGTGGAACACACTGTAAAGGAATGCCCTGTGTGGGCTGAACACCGCCGTGCCCTCAGGGAAGTGATCGGCGATGGCGACCTCTCGCGTCCGGGCCTAGTCCAGCGGACGGCGAGCATGGGTGGCTCCCCGTCCGACCAGAAACAGACCCGAGCGTACGGCGCGTCGCGTTCCGCACGCGCCTCAAAGAGCCATCAGACCACCACCGATAGGGCCCAGCAGGGCCGATGCCGATTCGGAGTCGCGGAGAGCTTAACGGGTAACCGGGGCTCCGGCTCGACGTGCAGGAGAAGGAACGGGGTGGTTTTTAGTCAGTAAGAGTCTGACACTCCCTCCCGCCTCACCTAGGCGGGAGCAGTCATTTGATGATTTGCCCCCCTTAAAAAAAAACCTAAGTACGTTTTAAAAAATCTGTAAAGCAATGGTACTAGTGTTTAATTAAGTTGAAGATAAGATTAAGTATACCTGCATCACATAGATAATCCTAATTTTCGACATAGAGTTATTTGAAAAAATAATTCAGACCAATTGTGAGTAATTAACAACAAATTAGATAAGAAAACATCAAATAAATTTTGTGAATCATCGTATTTTATTTAATCAAATGTATTAAGTATTTATTATCAGAGGTTTTATCAGAGCATAAAGGGTTAATCGTAAATAAGTTTTATAGTCACTTAATACAGATTGTTGACAGCTGTTTTGTTAATATCTGCCTACCTTTACTTCTTCTTGTTTTAAAGAATCATACTTTGAGTTAACCAGGCTTTGTAGGCACTATATTTGGATCTATAGGCCATCACTGCCGCATGTACAAATAAATTATTTGCTATGCGTCATGTGTTTTTTTTTTATACCACGACAGTTACCGTGGCCTATGTACGCCTGCAACACTTGGGGCATTACATGCGTCTTGCCTACCCTTAAGAAACCTACTACCCTCTTGAAGAACCTCATGTTTATTTTTTTTTTTTATTCATTTATTTAATTCAACACATCCTAACAGGTTACACCCAATGCGATAATTTTGTCACTTAATATAAAAACTTATAATTAACATTAATAAAAAAAAACTTAATATAAAAACTTATAACAACAACACAGCCATACATATTATTTGGACTTATCCATTAACTACATATGTACAACTAACAACATCAGTCGTTACCTTTATGAACTCCGCCAATGAGCAACAGAAAATATCAACCTTTTGTCCAACTCTGTTAATTATTTTAATAGCTCTAGCCACAGGAGCATATCGACCTATGTTAGTGCGACTGGTGGGGACCTCAAATACTCTCTGCCTCGGGCTCAGCCTTAGGTTTGTATTTGGGACGAGCAACCTCAACGAAGCCAGTACATATGGATGGATTGTTCTGTTTACCCCGGAAAACCTCAAACACGTACTTTGCGAGTGCAACCTCTCGCCTGACCTCCAGCTTATAGTATCCCACCATGCCAATAACAAACAGACAAGGATACATGAGTATACATACTGTATTTCATCTCATGGGGGTTCCAGATTATAGCACTCGTCTCTAATTGACTCCTAACCAACGGGCCTAGTGCGGGCCATGATGCGGAGCGAGGGGGACTGGGATGCCGTCTCCTCCTTTTGCGAAGCAGTCATGCTAGCTAAGGAGGAGGCGGGACGCGTGAGGCAGCGAAGCGCTGCCTCCTCGCAACCCAGCCATCGCGAAGGACACACCGGGCGTCGGGGATCGCGGGACGATCTCCGGCCACCGTAAGCGCGGGCCTGCGGACGGCGAGCATGGGTGGCTCCCCGTCCGACCAGAAACAGACCCGAGCGTACGGCGCGTCGCGTTCCGCGCGCGCCTCAAAGAGCCATCAGACCACCACAGATGGGGCCCAATAGGGCCGATGCCGATTCGGAGTCGCGTAATACGGGTACACTCCATATTGTTTTAGGTACAGGTACCGAGTAAACTTGTTTTGCATCTTCTCCACCATGAGGCTGTATTTCATCTCATGGGGGTTCCAGATTATAGCACTCGTCTCTAATTGACTCCTAACCAAAGCATTGTATAATATTTTTATTGTTGCTATACTTTTAAAATCCTTTGTCTCTCTCATTACAAAACCCAAACTTCTGTAAGCTTTAGAGCAAACCTTCGCGATATGCTCCCTGAATGACAAATCTTTGGTCATATGCACACCCAAATCCCGGACCGATTCAACACGAGGCATGACACTGTCTTCCATGTGGTATCGATGATGCACCGGAGACATGGCACGCGTGCAAGTCATTATATTGCACTTGTTGACATTGAAGAAAAGTTTGTTTTTCCGACTCCAATCAATTACCAGATCAATGTCATCAGCAAAGAGCAAACAACACGCATTCTGGACCACCTCTGGTAGATCATTAATCATTAGAATAAATTCTAATGGCCCAAGGTTGCTACCCTGGCTTACACCAGATAGCGTGCGATATTGGTCTGATACATGTCCACAGTAGTCGACATATTGCCTTCGGTTCCCGAGATAACTCGCAAAAAACTGGAGTAAATCTGGCGTGAACCCTGTCATCGCAAATTTGGTTAACAGTTTGTCATTATTAACGCTGTCAAAGGCCTTTTTGAAGTCAAAATAGGCAATATCCAGTTGGGCACCAGCCTCCGAGTCGAGGGCTTGTGTAGCATAATTCATAAAACACATGAGGTTAGAGCTAGTACCACGACCCGCACGTAATCCATGCTGCTCATCACAGAAATGTGCACTCACTTGTGAAGTTATACTTGCAGATAACGCGGACTCAAAAACCTTTGCAAACGTAGACAATACTGCAAAAGGCCGGTATCCACTCACATCCGAATCCGAAATCCGATGTTGTAGCCCACTGGGAAAACCACGGCAAGGAGCTCATTCCACAATCGGAGGGTCCGTGGGAGAAAATTCCTCTGAAACCGAACTGTATGGGACCATTTTGGCTCCAATAAGTGAGCGTGAACCCCCTGTCTATGGCCAGCGGTGTGATGATAAAAAGTGGCCGTGGGCATCATATCAAATAATTCCGCAGAACATAACCCATTATACAAGCGGTAGAACACGCACAAGGAGGCAATGTTGTTTATGCGTAAAATTATTATACATGTATGCATAGAAATATTTTAGAAAGCAATGAAGCTGCTATATAACCTGTACTGTAAAACAAGATTAAAAAAATTGCATTCGTTGTTGTTGTATGAAACTGAAAACAGTAATCATACTGATTGTTACAAGTCATTGCTTTGGTTCCTATGTACGACAATGTTTTCAAAAATGTTTTTGACTTGCCTTGAAGTTCATATACAAATACTTTATTAAAATTAACTTTTGTATTATATTTATTTTCTATACTAGGACTTTTTTCTGTGTCGTGGGTGCAATTACAAACATACACCTGACATACAGAATCGGAACACCAATTTGTGGATCACACAAACAGTTGAGATGACACAAAAGAGAAAATGACTAGATGTAAATAAATAAAGGTTATTCTTATTTCCACATTTATGAATTGTCATTTCAGTAATTGCAGGTGTAAATGAGTTTCACCTTCAACAAAATGTAGGTTCTTTTTAGAGTAGGTACCTATTCTATCCTACCAATATTATAAATGAAAAAGTTTGTGTTTGTCATTCGTTTATGTCAAAACACCTGAAGGGATGGGGGTGAAATTTGGAACAGGGCGTAAACAATGGTCTGGAATATCACGTAAGTTACTTTTTATCCTACGGGAACGAGAGTGAAGCTACTGGCAGAAGTTAGTTTAGAAATATGTTTCACAGTTCATTTACCTGCAATTGAATTAAAATCCAAGCAATGTATATAGTTTATTGTTTTAATAGTTTCAGACAAAACAGTGTGTTTAATTGGTCATTGAGTTTTTATGCATTTTAAATTAGCTATGTTATGGAACAAATCCAATTACTCTTATCAAACACTGTGCAGCACAGAATGGTAGAGTAGGCGTGATGAGAGGGAATGAAAATGAAATGAATGATTTTCCTGTCTATATGAAGAGATTCCTTTGAAAATATGCAGTACCTTATGACATTAATATAATTTTGTTGTCATGTGTTAGGTTGCGTAGTTGTCTAATATTTATGAACATATTTATTGATTTATTTTATACTTCATTGTATACCATAAAACATAAAGAGGAAAATAAAAAATGTGTACAATGGGCAGTTTTATCGCAGAATGTGATTTCTTACAGACAACCTTTGGCTGGAATCAGTAATCAGGTTGAAAAAAAAGGGGGTTGTCTAGTGTACTATAATAATCAAACCAATATACATGTACATAACATTATACTCCCTATACATACAAAACAAATAATAGATACACTAGAATAAATATAAGTACTATACACAAAAGGGGTATGATTTGGGAGAGGGGTTTCTTACTATGTCATCATCACTATCATTATATAGTATGAAATGTACAGGAAAAAAAATTAAGTCATGGTCCCTACATGTTCTATAATATTTTAGCCAGACCTAAACAAAGTGGTATAGAACTACTATTGGTTTCACTGTTTGTCAGCAACAGGCTCATTTATGGCTGACCTTTATCGGTAAAAAAAATATAGAATAATTTCAATATTAGTGTAGCCAGGTAACTCTAGACTCTAGATAGGTAGTACTGAAATATTATTATAGCAAAAGCTAAAGATTAAGTTGTTTTAAAATTAAAACGAGTGAAATTAAAAATTTTATAGTTACAATTATCTGTGGCTTTTATCTCAGCAGTATTCTCGTGTCTGCTATACTCTGATAACCGTTTACCTAATTAGTCATCAGTAGTGTATCCTTTAATAATATCTCAACATTTATTTGAAATATTATTTTATTTGATTGCTGTTTTAAGATTAAAACGTGATGTTAAAATATGAAACTTACCTTGAAACACAAAGAGAATGATGTATAGGGCAAAAATAATAAAAGCTTCTTTATTAGGAAATAAATTAGAACATTGTTTCATTTTTCTTCAAATTACTAAAACTTGGTTTGGTAGTGAATAATGAATGAAGTGGCTTTAATAACAGTTGATTTCTTACGAGTTCTAAGGCCTTAGAGTCTAATATGCATATTGATAAATCGTATTATCCGCCCATTTAATTAAAAAGCCTAAAACTAGGAATACTAAACAAAAACTAGTTCTTCCAGCACTAGATTACTAAATAAAACTAGCGGACTTCATAAACGTCAATGTCATTTCTTCTTGTTTTTTCGTTCCCATGTCTATTCCATGACCAATAGAGTATAGAGTATAGAAATCATAGATGAATAATAGATAGAAACACATGGAAAATATCGATAACTTATAACGTAAAAAACCAAAATTATTTAGGTATTCATAAATCATAATCATTAAATGTAAACGAAAAACTCAAAAAGCCTGTGTCTACTATAAAACAAAAATGTGCGATAGACAGACTGACCATAGACAATAGAAGAGTGACATGTTCGTTTACGCGTTGTGTGAAGTATCGATATTTTAGCATTGGGAAATTAAATACTATTCCCTTGACATAACGTTCAAATTACAAATTTACGCATTTGTTTGTAGTAATATTAAATGGTGTTGGAAGGATCAAAATCAGCAACAACAGCAAAATACAAAGAAAAGAAACATTTGAACTGTCAGTCTGTCACACTCACAATCACAAGTCAAATCAAATGTAATTTAGAGAGTGACAGTAGGTCTCTGAAACTACAATAATTCTATTTGATTTCAATTGATTATATCTGCTTCAAACATAATTTTGGTTTGAAGTTTAGTGTAAAAAGATGGTCATATTGTTGTTTGTGTAACAGTATCAATAATATTGTCGTAACTGTGGAAATATCCTCTGCCTACAAATCGGAGACTGTTATCAGGAGTTTTCAGTTTTAGGAAAACTTAATGCGATGGCTAGCGACGAAGACGACAGTACATGGTAAATATCTATTACTACAAGCTGTACCTACTTAAAACTGTTATCTTTCCGTATCCATTTGATTAGTCATCGTATTTTGTGTTGGATGCTTAGTTGGTAATTAGACAAATAATAAAATGTTACTTTAATATTCCATCTGCTATATATTATTTACTGTTCATAGTTCGTAGTTAGTTCATATTGTTTTTATAAGTTATTTACAATTATTATTAGACACATTATATCAAGTATTTTGATATAGTTAGGTATTTTGTGCCTAATGACATGAATTATTTTACCTTAGATTATTATTATTAGATAGCTACAAACATTGTACATATACTTATAAAATCATATTTCAGGTTAATTGAGTTGGAATCTGCCCTATTGGATGGTTGTTCAGCCCAAGAAATAAATTTGCTCACTAAAGGCAAGAAGATACCTGAAAGTTTACGCCCAGATGTGTGGCTCGTTTGTCTGAACTGCCAAGAAGCAGGCAATCAGCTACTTTCCTTTGATGAAATATTTGATCTGCATAATCAAAATGAACTAAGGGATGATGTAAAAAAGTTTGTAAAAAGACTTGGCAATGATGATGATGACAAACTATCAGTAATATCTGATATTGAATCAATAATAACTTTTTATTGCAAGTCTAAATCTATCAACTACAGTGTCAACAATGGTTGGATTGAAATCTTGTTACCATTACTGAGTTTAAAATTGCCCAGATCTGATACATACAATTTATTTGAAAAAGTTTTGAAACTATACATTCCCCAAGGCTGTGTGAAGAATGGAGTACCATTTCACATACTACGGCTAATCTTACAGTATCATGATCCAGAACTGTGTTCATTTTTAGACACAAAACGAATAACACCAGAACAATATTGTATGTCATGGTTAAGATCACTTTTTGCAGGTACATGCAATTTGGAGGTAGTGCTTTTTATGTGGGATTTGTATTTCCAAAGATCTGATCCTTTCTTCATATTTTTCCTATGCTTGATAATGGTTATCAATGCTAGAGAACAACTATTGCAAATGAAAAATGAAGATAAGGATGCAATAATTCAAACTTTAATTCAGATGCCTTCAGATCTAGAAGCCAATGATGTTTCTGATTTTTGTTCACTTGCACATTATTATTCCTTAAAAACTCCTCTGTCGTTCCGGGAAGATGTATTAGAAGTATTGTTCTCAGATAGTGGAGTAGAAATAAACTCTAAGCTTTATTCCCAAGCACTATGTCTTCCTGTAGCTGTCCATGAGCTGATAGAAAGTGCAACTCTAGATTCTGGTAACAGTGACAGTGTGAAATTCTTTTTGGTAGACTGTCGCCCAGCTGAGCAATATAATGCTGGCCATCTGTCAACAGCATTTCATCTTGATTGTAATTTGATGTTACAAGAACCTTCAGCCTTTAATACAGCAGTACAAGGATTATTGAATGCACAACGCCAAGCACTAGCGGCTGGCTCTCTGGCTGCTGGAGAACACCTTTGTTTTGTAGGTTCTGGTAGGACTGAAGAAGATAGTTATGCACATATGGTGGTAGCATCCTTCTTAAAAAGAAATACTAAACATGTCTCCATGTTAGATGGAGGTTTTGTTGCTATCCATGACTACTTTGGCCCACATATGACTGACTGTTTGGAAGAACACAATCCATCTACTTGTTTAGTATGTGCACCTAATAATAATAATGATGGTGTAGAAACACATCAAACCAAGGTAAAAGATAATATTCCAGCTAAACAGCTGTTTAGCAAATTATCTTCAGCAATGAAAGCCAAGAGCCAAGAGGTCAGAGGAAAGTTGATTGAGTATATTGTAAATCCAAACTCAACATACAATAATGGAGAGTGGCATGTTTCTGCCGGAGATAGGAAAGAGCAAAGGTACAGAAATGTGCCTCCAGTGTTTAGCATAAATGACGAAGACGATGATTCAAGGTCAGACAGTCTGAGGCGAGATTATACAGATTCAGATTCATTAGAAGAAATTGTCGAGTTACAATCTTACCTAAAGGAACATAATGTTGTAGATAGTTTCCCGTGTCAAGAGGTTTTGCTTAATGGCTACATGCATGATTCTTATTTGGTAGTGTCTGAAACACATCTGATTGTTCTACGAGACATACCTAATAAAAAAGGAGCCGCGAAAATTATGTCTCGAAGGCCATTATCAACTATTGTTAAAATAACTGCAAAAAAGAGACATCCAGAGTTAATTACCTTCAAGTATGGAGTGCCAGATGGTGATAATCTTTTGATAAAAGATATGGATCGCTTTCTCATCCCAAATGCTTCTGTAGCTACGAAAGTGGTTTCAAACCAAATTGTTCAACAACTGGACACCAAAGTTTGATACACAAAATCGAGAGAAGAAAAGTTTTAAGAAAAACATTTATTCCAAATGGAATATTATAGGCATTATGACCTAGTATAACAGGTACCGAATGTACCGATTCCAAAAGTTTTGTAAGCAGCGGCGGAAAAAAATTTGAGAATGCTGTTTTTTTTTCAGTTGCTGATAAGTCAGTCTGAAGTAACTTTTATCACATGAATAACTTACCACTAAAACAAATCACAGTTCTTATACATATTCTAGCACGCCTTAAGTGGAAAATGTTTAATTTGTAAATTGTTGCTAGGAACCTACTCATAAATTTATAATTATGTTTTGAGTAAGTATAATCATAATATTTATGAGTATGTGAAACATATGAAACTACGCCTCATTTTGTGTTTGTGTACGTAGGTTGAATTGAGTTCAGATGGACATAGCTTAACTGCTTGAATGCACCGATATGAGACACAATAGAAAATACATTGTGTCTCACGTGGGTCCACGTTTAGATATACACCACATGTTATATGTACATAAGTATTAATCTTCTTTGTCACTTTTCTAAAAGAGTATTAGAGGTAGACAGTGGCGTAACTACAGTGTAGCAAGTAGCCAAAATGCCTTCCCAGCTGGAAGGGGTTAGGCCCCAATTCTTAGGTTTTTATTTGAACTTCTCTCTTTTTTATGGGGAACGGGGTCCCGTCCCATTCGACAAATTTGTCACGGGCCTCGAACGGTATAGTTACGCCACTGTTAATAGAGTTAGACAGAAAGAGAGTACATGTGACAATTTAAGCCTACCTAGTCACTACATACTTGTGCTAAGCAATATTTATCAAAAATTCACATTTCATATTATGGCTTTACCTGTATTGGAATTTCATTTCATTATTAATGTTACCACTACTTTTCTGTGGATTTTTTTTTAGTGTAGTCATTATCTAGGTTAATGAAAATGTGATAAATAGAATTATAAATTAACAAATAAACAAGCACAGCAGTTTTTATAATAACTATCGTGAGACATACTAAATTAACTAAAAATCGCGGGTTACTCACGTGAATATACTGAGAAAAGCTTTCTCACGTGAGTAACCCGCGATTTTTAATTAATAAAGCACAGTAGTAGTTAATATTTGATTTGAAAAATATTCATTGTTGATATGTACCTACTACGAATAATCCATTACGTGTTTGCTATGTAGACCAAACCTTTATATTACATTTTCCATTTGTGGTTAAACACGCAAGTTTCATGTGTTAAGTATCTCATTAACTGCACACTATCCTTAGTGATTTCTGCAAAGTGAATGTCTATTGATGTACATACATGTACTTAGCAAAATTTGATAGTAGCAGATTTTGTTCATTAGGTAATATTGTTATATTTCCTCTAAAATAGTAGGTATTTGATTATAATGTTATTGAAAATGGTACTGCCCTGTTACTGAATACTGTATTGGAGTAGTATTTTAGACACAAAGCGTTTAAACATATTTATGTTTAAATTGCTTTTTAATCACTTTTAAGTACCTTGTACCTATCTACCTATCTATTAAATAATGATTAACAATAAACCTATGCTTAATTCAGCGTAAGTTTATCCTAATATGTAGTTATGTTAAATATAAATTAATAGGATAAGATTTTTTGTAATGCACATAATAGGGTTTGAAACGTTAAAGTATTATACGCCGTGCTAACATCATGACCTTGCACTAGTAGGTTATCGAGATTTTTGTCAAGAGATAAGTAAGGAGTAGAGTAGGTTTGTAATTACGACCTATTATGTATTCCTAATAACGGCCGATAATAATCATGTCTTCATGTGTAATAGATGTTCTATTTTCAGTGTTTAAAATATTCCTAAATTATTTGTATATTTAGTTGTTATTTAAATAAAGAGATATATTAAAAATATTTATTGTTTTTTATTTGTTGCAGTAGGTGTGCGTTAATATTTCCATGTAGGAGAGACATAATATGTAGGTACGGATACGGACTATACCACGTGCGTGCAAAGCGTGCACAGCACGCGGGCGCACGATTATGGGAGCGGCAAATCGAGCGACTCATTACCTAATATTCAAAATCATTGTCCAGAGTAAGCAGAAAGCATAAGATATATCATCGCCGGGAAAAAATCCCACTCGACGCAAGCAATATTAGCGTTGTGTATAACGTTTGAGGCCCTTCGCGGAGAACCTAACGGGTAACCGGGGCTCCGGCTCGACGTGCAGGAGAAGGAACGGGGTGGTTATTAGTCAGTAAGAGCCTGACACTCCCTCCCTCACCCAGGCGGGACAGTCATTCGATGATTTTCACCGCTTAAAAAAAAAATACCAGTCAGTAGCGCCTTAAATTAGAAGTCTATCGAGCGTTCTTGGAAACTATTGAGCGTCCACGATCACATTCTATAGTCACTCGAAAACTATCGAGCGTCCTCGATCACTTTCGGTTGTCCTCGATTACTTTCGAGAGTTACTAGATCACTTTCGAGCACCATCGATCAATTTCGAGTGTCCTCGAAAACTATCGAGCGTCCTCGAAAACTATCGAGCGTCCTCGATCACTTTCGAGCGTTCTCAAAAATTATCGAGCGTCCTCGATTACTTTCGAGCGTCCTCGATCAGTTTCGAGCGCCCTCGATCACTTTCGAGCGTTCTCGAAAACTATCAAGCGTCCTCGATCACTTTCGAACGTCCTCGATCACTTTCGAGCGTTCTCGAAAACTATCGAGCGTCCTCGATTAGTTTCGAGCAACCTCGATTACTTTCGAGCGTCCTCGATCAGTTTGGAGCGCCCTCGATCACTTTCGAGCGTTCTCGATCACTTTCGAGCGTTCGCGATCACTTTCGAGCGTCCTCGATCACTTTCGAGCATCCTCGAAAACTATCGAGCGTCCTCGATCACTTTCGAGCATCCTCGATTGGAGCGTCCTCGAAAACTATCGAGCGTCCTCGATTACTTTCGAGCGTTCTCGATCACTTTCGAGCGTCCTCGATCACTTTCGAGCGTCCTCGATCAGTTTCGAGCGGACTCGAAACCTATCGAGCTTCCTCGAAAACTATCGAGAGTTCTCGATCAGTTTCGAGCGTTCGCGATCACTTTCGAGCGTCCTCGATCACTTTCGAGCATCCTCGAAAACTATGGAGCGTTCTCGATTACTTTCGAGCGTCCTCGATCAGTTTCGAACGTCCTCAATCACTTTCGATCGTCATCGATCACTTTCAAGCATCCTCGATCACTTTCGTTCGAGTTCTTAAAATCTATCGAGTGTCCTCGATTACTTTCTGGACTTACTCTATCGAGTATTTTCTTCATTTTCGAGATATCTCTGCCGCAGGAGACGCTTTTGGTGTAGTATCGCGTGATCGCGTCGTCTTCTCCGCCACCGTAAGCGCGAGTCTGCGGACGGCAAGCAAGGATCACCTGACGTAGCAGACCCGAGCGTACGGCGCGTCGTGTAAAATGCAGGCATCAAAGAGTCATTACTTCATCAGACACCACAGACGGACCCACCAGGATTGTTGCCTTGCTGGAGGGTAGGCTGTCATTATGGATACTGGGGCCCTGGTTTTGAGCAAGTGTTGGAGGGAATGGGGTGGTTTTTAGTTAGTAAGAGTTGTAGGAGTCACTTCGTCAAGAGTAATTTGAGGACTTTTTATCCAAACTACAAAAAGGGGGGCGGCATAATCGGTATTAGCACGCGGGCGGTCGAATGCTAGCGGCGGGCGTGACTCCATCTCAGAAAATCAGTGTGAAACAAAGCTTGCTTCAGTGAACGAGTGAGGTTCTCCCTCTACTCCAATTTCCAAAAAGGCCGGCAACGGGCTTGAACTCATCTGGCATTGCTGATGGCCATGGGCAGCACCGATTGCTTACCATTAGGTGATAAGATATAACAAAAACCATGTACCTAATTGTTCTTTAATTACACATCTATTTAATAGGTATGTACAAGTAATGTTATTACAATAAAAGTATGTATAACTACGTACCTAACTGCATAAGATTGTCCTTGAATCCATTCTGTATTGCTTCGGTGTAGTTTTCTTGCGGTTTAAGTTTCGATTTCATGTATTGGATATAAGATTTCTACTCTAGGTACCTACTACAATACATATCTACTTTCGTAGAGCTTGTTCAACAGCATGTTCAAAGATCTCAATTTGGGTTTGATGATGATGATGATGATGATGATGATGATGAATATCTTACACTATGAATATGTAGATGCTCATTGGTGTCCAAATCTACCTAGATTTAATATATAAGTCTAATACTACACATAATCATGTCCTTTAATTCCTGATTGGGACTAACCCTAACTACGCCCCGACTAGGCGCTTTTCATCAGTTAAGTAGTTATAAGTTTTCATAATGCAAATAATATGGGATGAACCAGCCAAACGCTGCTCCGAGCACTGGTTCTAATTCTAAGAGTACAAAACTTAGTTTGTCCTACTTGGGAATCGGACCGTACCTACCTTCGCCTGCGAATGTTTTGAAGTCAATAGGCCCAGTATGTATGTATAGCATGTTCATTTGCAGACAGGGACGTAGGTACCTAGGACCTAGTTGATCTTTAAAATTCAAAATGCATTAAGTAATGTTGTAACTGTTTTTTTATTTAGATAAAGTCACTCATCAGACACCATATTTAGTTTCTACAATAACATAATAGATATATTATGTAACAGAATGTACAGCGTTGCTTATTGACAGGTAGTAGGTACTTATACATATATATAAATGAGTAAGAAGGTATATGTATATCTATAGGTATAGAAAGAAGACATTTTTGTAAATACGCTTTTTATAATTATTTTTCTCATAGCTATTCTACTTGTTTAGAACAAGAAATACAGGTATTCAATTGATATGTTTCGTTCCATCAGGTATATAGTTTTGGTACATTTGGTGACAGTCACAGGTTTCGGTACCTACAGTCAAAACTACAATAAATGTTAACTGACATACTTAGGTACAGTGTTACCTGATACTGGACACAGATAACCGTTATCAAATGCAGAAAACAAATATGTTTTGTATCTGATAGTACCGTTTACTTAGGTTAAGTAAATTCTTTTCTATATGCAGTTATTTCTTGGCTACATAATTTAAGTTTTTGGTAATTAAGTTTTAAATCGGATGAAGATATAGGTACAGCTTCTTATATACCTATTTCAATTTATTTTGACATTTATATAGGTTCCTATCTATTGATAAAACAGATAGTTCTGTACTATGTAGATACTATTATAGTATGTATCTTAGGTATACCGAAAATGTAAAAAATATTTACAATAGATGAAGTAAACTTAAATGGTTAATTATTATTTACATTTGACCTAACATTAAACTCATTAGTACTTAAATTCCTACTTACTAACATTGTCTTTATTTTTTCAATAAAGTAGGTACCTAGACATGAGCACGGTATACGCCAGGTATACAGTGTAGAAGCCGAAATCAAAATAATAAGTATAGGCCCTTTCGTCATATCGCTACTGCGAAGGCTCACAAACTAGAGGAGAATGATGAATGATGACAACCTTACTAGGTTGTAGACTAGACTACGCCTTACGCCTTTATTAGATTCATATTCCAGTAATGAAGGCTGATAGGTACCTATTCGAATGAAACGATATCGATTTGAATAAATTGTGCTAGGTGGTACTTGCTACCCAATATTAGATATTAATCGGTTAAGAAAAATATCGTGAGGCAATTTAGATTTGTAATTATAGGCATGTAAGTAGCTATTACCTAAGTGTGAAGTCAGCTAGGTATAGATAAACCAATGGATATACTCCAATGCACATAAAAAGAAGCATTCTTTTTACTAAGCAATGGGACCTTCATGTGTTTTTTTTGCCAGTATGTGTCATTTTTCTGATTTTTCATCTCGTGATTCTGACTAGATCAGATGCAGATACGTGCCCTATTTTGTACCTCCTTGTATTTAAAATTGGCGTTGATATGCATTTATAAATACTTCTAAAGCATGCGTTAGTTGGTCAAGGTGCACGCGTTGTTCAATCGACCAATTAGGATTTGGAGGTGAAGGTCAATTAAGATACCTACTCGTGCTGTACACAATCTATAACAATTTATACTCTGTATGTTTAATGTAATGTAATTTCCTACCTACTTTATTAGATTTTCCCGGTTTGTGTGAGGCGAGAGAGAGGGCCCGACTGTTACTGATTAAAAACCAACCCATTCCTATACCTATATGCTCTTCGAGCCGGAGCCCCGGTAATCCGTGAAGTCTTCCGCGGCTCCTTATCGGGCATCAGCCCTACTGGGCCTCATTTGTAGTGGTCTGATGGCTACCGTGCGTAGGTACATTGTTAGGTTGATAACCAACTCACGAATGAATGTCTTGTCTGTCAGTATCTTACTTTCTGATCTTCGACAAATTTTCAGTTCTAATTTTTAGGTGTAAATGAATGAAGGCGGATTTAATCGCATATGGCATTAAGTTCTTATTTACCGGGAAATGCTGTGTCTAACCACTTAGCTAAACTGCTGCCTATTGCTGACAATAGGTACGTAGGAATTTAAGTACTCGCCATACTATTTCTTAGCATTTTTAGATGCTAAGTATTAATGTAAGCTAATTCATAATGTTCTCATATCGAATCCAACTCTGTCGTAGACTATTGGTATCTTTCATGAGATCCTGCAGACCACGGTTTCATACCTGACAGTGAAGTTAAGTTCTCTTCAATTCAGTTTAGTTTTATTATTGATCTCTTTCATGGAGCTTGAAAACCCTTCAACTAAGTAAATTAAATTAATACATTTTTCTATTATAACAATTACCTATAGATCAATTAGGTATTACTTCCGGATGGTAATCATGATTATGAGCCCTGTAGTGGCTTGAAATGAGTCGACGAACCTCTTCGAACGAAGTGATAAATCGTAGGAAGTAAATTAAATTAGTTATTATAAAACAAAATTTTATGTATTGATATATATTAGTGGGTATTATAATCTAATATTTACATGTTCATTCTTTATTTAACATTTGGTGTACTTACCTATATTCTCCAAGTAATTAATTAACTATCTATTTATATATTTATCTTTATTTACATTTACTTAATATTTTAAAGATCATACGTATAAAGCTTTCTTAATACTAGATTCAAAGTGACTTTAATTTGGAAGAATTTAGCTTTTCATAAAGGACGCATTATTTAGAAAACTATCCGTGCAGGAAATACATACAAATGTCTGCATTTGTATAATAAGCTAAAAAAACGTAAATGTAATATGGTTTTTATTTAGAGGAACATCCTACTAAATTCAAATATAGCTCACTCTTTAGAAAACCAAAATGGAATAAAGAGTGAAATGGCACATACCACTATTTTGTACGTATTTCCTCCACATATTATAATTATCTATTTAAGAAATTCAATGCAAAACAAATTGTACTTACCTAAGGGCATAACTATACTATAGGTACTATATAGGTAGGTACTACCTGTATCCAATGACGAAATAATAGATATCTACATATCGATACATAACAGGTAGGTATTTATAAAATTAAAATATAGGTAATCATTCAAATAAAAAAATAACAAGTGTATCGGAAACAGTCATATAAAGTCGTAGTACCGTAAAACGGAGTGAATGGAATTCGAGGGGTGAATAGATAACTACAGAAGAGAGGTGACTAGGTATTGGGAAATTATTCTAGTACCTACCTATCTATTCATTCCTTTAATTCTATTCAACCTGTTTTAGTTATGCCTGGTTCGCACTACGCTATCGAGTCGAGTATTTAGTAGTTCTCTCTCGCTTTTGTCTTAAAGTCGAAGCGAGAGAACGCTACTAAATAATCACTACACAGCTAAAATCTTCTTTAATATCCATCAACAGCTTATAAATGCCCACTGCTGAGCAAAGCCTCTTCTCACACGGAGAAGGTTAGAGCGTTAATCACCACGCTTGCTCAATGCGGGTTGGCGATTTCAAACATATAATTAGAAATTATAAGTCCAGGTTTCCTCACGATGTTTTTCCTTCACCGTTTGTCAGTGGTGTCTAAATAATCTTAGTCTGTCTGTTAGTCTGTTAGTAAATGTCTAAATTCTTTAATATATCTGTGGCTAAAATACTAGCGTAGTGCGAACTGAGAGCTCAGTACGAGTTTGTTTGAAACGGGACCACGTTCGGCGCTTTGAATGGTTGGTTCATTGGAGCCGGCCTATCAGAGGGCTGAAAGCAGTCTCGATTCGATCTCGTTAAACGTAAACCAAAGTCGTACCTACTAAGCCCTCTGGTATTCTGTGCCTCTGGGTATAACTTATGTAGTACCTAGCAATCGTTTAACACCATTCATAGTTGTTTGTTACTGCTCATCCACAGTGATCAACTCGTCGTACTACAATCGACAATTCCAATCAACAGACGCCATTCACATATATTAAAACACTGTACAATAATTTAAATTGATCCCATTTCATTGCATTGGCAATAGGCTCGACTCTCGTTATAAGTTAGTAAAGTTGGGATTCGATGGCAATTTATTGTCGATACCGTTGTCAACTTGCACCAAGTGAAAGGAGAAAAACACTTCGAAAGGAACATAAATCATACAAGTAGAAGGTTCTTAGGTTCTGTATGTATAGGTACAATATTTTTGATTTTAATAACACATAAGGCTTTAGTTAAGATAAATTGAAAATTCTGCTTTAAAAATGATCATGAAGGAAGTTTTGGTACAATACAACAAATAACTTAAGGACGTGCGAACAAAACTACCATTACAGTTGCTGAACATAATCTTGATAAAGAAGTTTCGATTGGTTCGTCATTAAAATTGTTCTGTATGTCAATAATTTCGTAAATTAAGTTTAACGATAAGCACAAATAGGTACACTATAGTTTAGAATAAATAACAGTCCGTTGCCAACTAATATATAACTAGCTTTAGGTATATATATATGTACATTCATCACCCTTCAGACCATAGGTATATTGTAAATAATAATACAATAGCTCATATACAATAAGCACTTTGTACGTACTTCAGCACTTAAATACAACAATATTGCTAATGAGATACATAGACATTCCTAGTACATGTTTTTCTCCGTTTTGTTGTCACCATATAAGATACCTGGGTACGAGCAAGGAAAATAAGGATTGATTCAGTACATAGACCGTATTCTATACTTATAATAAACTAGCGGACTTCGTGAACTTCGTTTCGCCTTGAAAATTTTTCTGCACATCTTTGTTTATTTTTTCTTATATTAGAACCTTATGCTAACAAAAACAAACCCAACAAAAAAGAATTAGGGAAATCGGTTCAGCTGTTCGCGAGAATTGCGCTTAATAACATATTCAGCGATACATTTTTATATAATAAGTACCTAGATGCTATACTTTACTGAAAGCTGTTTTGTAAGTATTGGCCAGTTCAGTCGCCAACTAGTGGTCTCTGCACTGAATCTATTTTTATTTTCTTACCTGTGTATCGCATAACTTGCCTAATCAGCCAATATATTTAGTATGTTCATACTTACTTGCTTTCCAAAAACATGTGCTAAACAATATCTACTTACAATAGTCCAGCACTATGGATCTCTTCTGCAAAAGAGGAGTTTGCAATAACCTCCTCGCTTGGCAAGCGGGTTGGAGTTGGAGTTCGTATAGGTTCCTAATACTAACTAATAATAAAATTACTTAATGTAATAAAATTACTTAGATTAAAAGTTCTCTCAAGGAGATGATATGTTATTTTGGCGACTTTGAAAATGTCTAGGCACAACATTGGTGAATTTCAAGATTTTGTGTCATTCCGTGGGTTTTGTTTAGGTAGGTAGTGGTGGGCTATACTGCCAATATTTTGTTAGATTAGGTATCATTTTAAAATGGGTTTTAAATCTAGGTAGTTAAAAATCTGTTTACATGGGATACTGGTCAAATAACAGTTGATGCCAATCTCAGAAAACGGTTCCTTATTTTTCTGCTAAAAGGTTTTCGACTAAGGGCTCGTACACAACCTGCGATGCGATGCGATGCGAATTCGGAACGCAGAAAATTACGATGCGAATTGCTGCGATGCGATTTTCTGTAACAAGGCGTCTCCGAGGGTGACCATTCCTTCGACGACCGTCAACCGTACTAAACGTATTTTAAATTTGAAACTAGGTCGTGACATGAATTGTAAAAAGAAGTGTGCACTTCTGTTATTGCTTCGGAGACACAGGAAAAAGAAACAAAGAAGATTTTGGGAAGATAAGATTTTGATGCGTGATGCGAATCAATTCGGAAATTCTTGCGATGCGACGTCGCATCACAGTTTTGTGTACGAGCTATAATTATCCATAATTCATCATATCGTTGTATTAGCGTTAGAATGGATCAATGAAAATCTGAATCCATTTTGATGGTTATGAAAAGTTTATATCCGAAAGCTGTTCTTTTAAATATTTGCCGACTTTAGTAAATTCGACAAAGGACAATTTATCCATGGTTTATAAAGTACCTTTAGCTACGATTTCTATTGCGTTATTTACCATTATTATGTTATACAAATAGTGGCCTGTTTGCATGGAATTCTTATCGTAGCAGTATGAACATCACTTAAATTAACCTACTAAGTCAATGGCCTTCTATTATTTAATTAATTAATTCAATTGGTTTGTGCCTGTACTACACAATTAGCATATTCACATTTTCACTCACGCGCGTTATAATATTTATGTAAGTACGGTATGTATTATGAACATAAGTATTATATATTTTATCACAGCCCATTATTTAAATTTAACAACTTGCTCTATCAAGCAATTGTGAGCAAGTATATAATTATAATACACGTTAGAGATGGAATTAGATTTGGAGGAATTTTTGATGATCCTGATGTACTGGAGTCAGCCGTTGTTAAGTTGGCAGACGGCTGAGACAGGCTTGGAGGCTTGATGACGTCAACTGAAAGCAAATAAAATAATTCCCATTAGATGATTCCGCAATAGATATCACTATTTAGTTTACTCTTTTTTTAGAAGGCATTGAATGGACTGGCTCTAAACAAATTAAAAGTAGCATAACTAGGTTTTTTAAGTATTGTTATTGTTTTCTTTTTTAATCAAATATGTTGATCCTACAGTCCAAGGTGTTGCAAAAAGTATGCAGACATCGAGGTTGTCACAAAAAACACAAACAATTCTGGCCGTTCCATTGGAGTTATATCATAGATTTATAAATATAACATAGATGTCTGGCTATTGTCTACGGGTAGAATTTAGGATCCATCTTGACGGTAAATTCATAAACATACTGTTGTTTCTTTTTTACTTATGTCTCTTTGCTTTTGCAGAAAGAGACAACACATTATTGTCATTCTGGCCATAATTTTTTGACGTCATCAGAAAAACCTAGTTGTGCCGAATTGGCCATCTTAGTCCCTGTTAACAGTGCATGTCAGTGGTACATCAGCTGTCAAAGCATTGGTCAACAATATTTTGTTACGAAAATTTGTAGAATTCCTGTTGTTTTTGTGCGTGGTAAACAAAAAAAATATTGGTTAGTGAGAAGAACTATGCCCGGGTGCAGTGTTATTGGATGTAGCACTAAAAATATTACTAAACCGGCAGGTGTAACATTACATCGGTAAGTACTGTTATTTTTCATTAAAATATCTCTGTTTTTCAAACTATTCAAGTGTGGTTGCTGCAAATTGACTAAATACAATACTTTTCTAACTAATGCAGTGCTTATTTTCATTAATTTTAGTTGAAATACGTCTTAAACAATTTTCATTAAAAAATAGTGATGTACATGTTTGTTCCCGTATCGATAATTTTATCGTACATAATAAATGCGTCAAAAGTAGAACAAAGAACTATACTAAATTCTGAATGATAAAGTGCATTAATTTGACATAATGACAAAATACAAAAAACATTAAGTAGGTACAGTATCTATAGAATCTATAGAAAAATCTATGTTCAATTGGATCAAGTAAGTTAAATTATACTATTTATGTTACAGCCTTTAGCCAGATATGTGCATGAAAATGAACTTGGAACCAGTTCTGGAGTCTTCTCGAAAGATGGTTTTGCAGATTACATTACAGGGAAACACTACGAAAAATACGAAGATATTGTATATTATAAATCTTGATTTTATGAATACTTTGATACAGTTTTATTTTTCAACCCTCAAAAATTACTTAACCTTAAGTATATAAATATTGACCAGTTGATGGAAAATCCTTTTCATGAATTTCGATACATAAGTATCGTGAAAGTTATGATGTGAATGTATAGGCACGATCGACTGAAGTGACAGTGCACGCAGCAACTACTAAATAGATTTCGCTAATATGTTGGTAATGTTTAGCAGCTAGATAAAAATTAAATCCGGATGAATTATAAAATAATGATATTTTATTGATAAGTCAATTAAAACCAATTCTAAAATATCGATATTTCTACAGTTTTAAAAGTTACATCCCTAGTTCTATCCACCATTACGGGTGACCAAGTGAAGTTTATGTAGGCACGATTTTTTCCTAGTTGTTTCTTATCCATACTCTTATCATATCAGTGAGTTACATAGAACATGGTCAGATTTGTTAATAATGGTTTGAAAAGTATATGAATGGTTTCAATAACAATCAATTGGTCTAGTAGTAAAGCTATTAAAATGAAGATTCGTTGATAACGGTTCACGTGTATTAATGATACGTTATAAAAGTTTCCTAATTTCATAACCGAATTAAAATAGTTTATAAATATCTATGAAAAATGCACCTATTGTATTATTCAAGGTATTCAAGATCCAAAATATTTGTATTAGTGAAATGAACCTATGCATGAAGATGGTAAAGCATTTAAAATGTTTAATTAAAAATTAAGAATATTACTGGCATTTTCTCTCGTGAAAATGGTGCAAAAGCCATTTACTACATCGATGAGTAAAATTAAAAAAAGACACAAATGGCCGTTATGATTTTTCTTTGACTCTAATTGCCAGTTATTCATTCACGCACACAAAAACTTCTGCAAGTAGGTTAAATATTCTAACTAATAATTATTTTGGATTTTTGCCGTTATGTAACTTATTTATTTTGTGATTTTTGTTCCTAAAGGTGACTTCCGAAAAATAAATAAATACTGGCTATTTTTCACGCAAAAATATGCCATTTCCTATTTTGACGTAAGTAATCAAATGGCCTTCCTTGATTATCTGTGACTCTAGTGGCCTGATATTGAGCTATTCAAACAAAATGATACGTAGTGGCAAGTAGGGTTTATAACCAAATAAAATGTATTTATTATTTTTAACACAATTTTATTGGTGGTATCACACAGTGTCTTAAATGAGTTTTGAAATGAATACTATAATACACAATAAATAAATATAATATTAAAAAATAAACAGAGATCTAGCAGTATAACTGTAATTTTTATATAAACGCCAGTTACTTTTGTAATCTGGGATACTTAGGTACTGCCTGTTTATTTATTGAATAATGTGTTGGAATCATTTGAATATTTTCGACAAATAAACAATAATAAAAAAATCAAATGGCTTAGACAAGTTTTTCGTGTAAACCTGTGTAAAACACACATGTATGCAAGAAATTTTGGGACGTCATTTTTGTTGCTATTGTATGGTGACGCTCTATCTAGACGAATACTAAAGAATTGTAGTATATTCCGTGGGCAGGAAAATGAAAAGTTGTGATAAATTAAAAATGTAAGTGGATTTTACCTATAACTGTATCGTTTCTGACGTCGGCGAACCTGTCTTCGATACTTCTAAACTCAGGTATCGTGCTGACGCAAGTAATTTCCAGCCTTCCAGTCGCCACTATTTGTAGCTCCGACACGGTCACATATAGATCTCTCTTGCTGGGTTTACGACTCTTGTGACGACTGCTCATATGGATAACATTTACCTCTTCATGTTCTTTTACTTCGGCCATCTGGAAAACATAAGTCGAAGGTAAATTTATCATAATTATGTGAAATAAGAAAATTATAAATTGTACTCAAAACGCGGGGGAAATAGCTATACACAGTGTTTTAACTAACAATTATCGGGGACCGATGTATGTAGGAAAAGTAAATAAACATCAACAATATCTATTATTATTGCTGATGTGTCAGAAATTATTACATTTCAAGAAATTTATCAAATCGCAACCCGTTTATACCTATTATAGGTACATTGCTACTCACTTGATTGATTGACGATTCATGTATCCACAAAGATGTGTCAACTTTACTGTTCACAGATCTGACATTTGATGCCGACATCTTTGCCTCTGGGAGAAAAGCTCAAGTTGGCATTACAGACATGTATATTTTAAGTAAATAGGGAAAAATATTCTGTGCTACGAACGCACCTACGCGCTACGTAGGTAGACGTGCACGTACGAACATAATGGTTAATTTGCATAAAAGTAATTTCCTTGCGCCCAGTAACGTATCTAAAATGTATACATACATGTAGGTAAACAAAATATGTTCCATGTCATTTTAGACTGAATTCGGAATTTAATTAGCTTGGTCGCATTATATTAATGTAGGTTCAACCGTGTCAAGAGTAATTAAGTTCATAATTCTCAGCGTGATTGTATTTAATTCCGCACTTTGTCATAAAGATAAAGTTGAATACGAATCAAGGTAAGTCACGCGTCATAATGTTATATAAACTGTGATTACGATTATTACCTGATTTTCTTTTAAGCTGCAACCGGGTGGTCTCGTAGCGACGTGAGAGGCGTGTGTGAGGGTTAACAATGGAGGAGGGCTGCTGATGCCAGTGTCGTACTCGAAGCTTCGCTGTAAACCTCGGCGTCCATTGCGTTCACTCATCGGTACGCGGAACTTGTGTGAGTGGGCTACCAACTCGTCCATCTGACGTCAGAAAAACTGGGTAAATGTTATTGTTACAAAAATGATTTTTATTTGACTCAAATCAAATCAATTTTATATATCCGTAGTATTATTATTCGGAGATTATGATTTATAATAATAACAATAATTGTTTATCTGGTTGGTTAGCGTCTGTTGAGTGTATCTGAGACCCTACTTTGAGGCCTTTATCATCAAAAAATATTTATTTCTTAGACTGATTTCTTACCTTTCTGCCATTGATGAACCATGTTATATGTGGGGCTGGTACCGCGGGCGCAGTGGTGCAGTTTGCTCGAAGAGTTTCACCGAAGCTGAGGTAGCGTGTCGGGAAGTCGATCCTAGGGTGATGCTTTTGCGGATCTGAGGAGTGGTTTATGATGAACATTTTATATCACTTGGTTGTTGTTTAGTAAGGACAAAGCGTCGATACCAAAAATATCTATACATTCGTTTAGTGTTTATTGTAAACAGTTCAGTATAGTGGAAATAACGGGAGGTTTACTCTTGAATCAAATTCCGATCAATCGACATTGGTATGATGAAATTTCGTACTTTTGAGAAGCAACACTAGCGCCCATTGCATCCGTATTGCGTGGACATGTAATGAAGTAAATGGTACTGAGTTTGGCTTTATATGCCATACTCTGAATGCTATATGAACAACTAAGATAGGGGTTGTATAGTTTTGGCATTAAATAATTATTGAAATTTTATTCGATTGAACTTGTATTGACATAAAGATTGGTTTCGAGAGTAAGCACTCAGATGTATAATTGTATCCAGTAGTTTACCGTTTTCTTGTTCTGGCGAGTCGACATTATTTGTTCCCCAGACAAATTTCCAGGTACACACTAATTAGTTGAATTACCCCACATGATTGCTTTTTAATTTAAGCCAACAATGTTTAATTTAATAAAATTGATGAGTCTTTAGTGTACTGAACATGTCATATTACGTCTGACTTAGTACCGGATTAGGACAATACATGTTGACAGTAATCTCAACATTTTACGCTAATCCTGATTATCTAGTAAGTATAGCAAACACCACATAATCCCTATTCCGTTGTCGCATATTGTTACAACCGAGACAATGCGTAGCCACATAAGTACGGTTGTCCGATGTTGTCATATTTTATCCTTTACGTAACAAAAACAAAGTATCATGTTCAGTTACAAATTGAAAATATGTTTTTTTTATCGAGTTTTTGTTTCAATTTTCTGACAAGCGACAGTATTGTGTTAAAATTTTATGAATCCAAGGTATTAACTAGTTGGAAAACAGATTGCCATAAAGCAGAAACAGAAAAAAAGTAGTTAAGGTTGCGAAGAATAATGGAGGAAGTAAATATTTCGATGATGTAAGAACGAATGAGAACCTAGTTGTCTATATTTGCGGTGTCACCGAAATAATATTACTTGGGCTAGTATAATTTGAGATTGAAATCGGTCAGAGGACATTCACATTTTTTATACAATAGTTGTTAATACAAAATAAATAATTTATATAGATATTTTAAACATTTTGATTAATGTTAGTTAAGGAAAATGAATTATTTAGTAGAGAGTAAATAAAAAAGAATGTGAAAATTTTAGATGTTTTATTAGATTCTCTTTGGCTTTAGTTGATGCAGATCTTAAACACTAGGCTGGTAGCTGTTAAAGATTGTATTTGTGCGTCATTGGGAAGTTAAATTAAACAAAATGTTTTTTTAAAGTGGGTCCTGGATTTAATAGTTTTACTTGTGTTGACTTTATATTTGAACGCGTATCCAGTTGATATAACTACTGACTCTAGCGAATGCAGAAGGGAACTGTAATTCACATCCATCACGTGCCACAAATGAACTCACGCCGATCAAGACTGGCTCTCCATTAACATTTATTGTCAAAGGTCCCCCTGAGTCGCCCTGGCAAATACCAACTCCTCCATAGCCGTTTGTGCAAATGTTTGAATCTAACACCAAGTCACCGTAGTAGGAGCGACATTTTTGTAGTTCTATCACTTCCAGCAAAACATTTCGAGCCATTGTGTTGGTCGTGGGGTTAGTTACATCGGAGTATCTTCCATAGCCAGCAGCGATAACTGTTTCGTTTGTGTAGTCCATATGCAGAAGCGATCCTGATGGTAATGCTATCGGTTGAATTTGGCCAGAAAATTGTATGTGGACGGGTAAATACAACATTGCTATGTCGTTGGCGAATGTTCGAAAGTCATAAGTTGGGTGGATGGCAATGGCACTTGGAAATACTCGTACACCTCCATGGAATAAGAACGGGGATCCCAAGACAGCAGTAATGCGATGAGCTTGATTAAATCCGTCGAACCAGCAGTGAGCCGCTGTTAGGATTCTATTTGCAGAAAGAAGCGTTCCTCCACATGCTGAGGGCGAGGAGAAGCCTATGATGTCGATGAGTAGACCAGCGAGGTAAGGGTGAGCGTAGACCGGAGCAACAGCACCTCCCACGATGCGACTGTTTAGCGTCACTTCTTCAGACAACTTTATAAGTTCAGCATTTTTCATGCCAACCTTCTGATGCCATCCTATAAACTCCTCGTCCACAGTTTCGTGGCTCCAGGCGGAGTGAATAAACAACAGACAAATGACTAGGAACGCGCGCATTGTAGACGTTCGTTGTGTACCGACACAGGACGGCCACTTTATATACTTTACACACTCTTAATTTTATCTGTTTTAATTTTTAACTCAAACCGACAGCTAATAAATAAATAGTTAAGCCGATAAAGTTTTTATTGCCCCTATTTTACAGGGATTAACACTTTTCGATTTAATTGATTGGTAATTTTGCACGAGGTACGGAATAAGGGAAACACCTAAGTAGCATTATATCTGCTAAGCTTGGGATTACCGTGCATTTATTTTCTAGAATTATTTTTTTATGACATTTTCAAAACAATTCTGGTCATAGATATTTTTTGTGTATCTAATAATAACTTTTAGCACTCGTTAGATAAATAGCATTTTCTAGATGTATTCATAAAAGAGCGAGTTTTTATAATATGAGCATATAGAATAGAGGAAATTAATTTTATCGAAAGTTTTATTTTCTTAAGAATTATAAATATTTATTTCTTATCGATTTAAGTACAATATTTTTTTGTATTCGGATGGTTTATTGAATTAGTTAACAATTAAATAAAAGAATGGCTTCCTTACGAGAACTACGTAAGAAACTCTCTATCGGTTTAAAATCACTTTGGGTATCTTATTTAGTAGTGATTATGTCAGTCGTTATATGTAACTGTGTTATGTTATGATAGTATTACAAACATATTTAACAATTATTGTAAAAAGAATTTAAAAAACCTTTTTTTATATTTTCGTTAAGGATATAGCTTTTTCTATAATTTGTATATTATAAATTGTTTCCAATCATTTGAAAACTAGACACGACATTATACATACAAATTGCGAGAAAGTATGTATATGTACATAATATACTGCGTCGATTAGTGATTTTCTTTTCCTCTATTTGGTCTCATTTTTCAGTCGCTAAGTAACATTCCCTCGTTCACTTTACCTGTAATAGCTGTTGATTTACTACCATTGGGTGAGGTATTTCCTTCCCGGACCTTTTCAGTGCTCGATTAATCATTTATTACGTTGTAGGGTTCCAAATTACGGACGATTTCGGGGCCTGCGGCTTCACCTACTATCGGTCCCCCGATGTATCTATGCCTATGTGCGTAAGCTTTGACGCCCAAAAATGACTTGTGTAATCTTTACAAGAAGTAATAGTCCTAAATTCAAGTCTACTTTAGCGATTTTCAATGGAATCAGGTCAAATAAAACTTGGCAAACTTTGTGTAACTTTACGGTTTGCTACTTGGGAGCTACATAATACATCTGGGTTACCTTACGGACACATACGTATAAAGTATCGGGGAACGGAAACGGATTCTCCTCAATAAAAACGACCACGATATTTGTTGCTCGACCCCGGACTTGATAAATGACCAGAGAGGAGAAAATCAACAAACATTTCCTCGCGAAAGAGAACAATAATTTAACAGCGTTTTGCAAGAAAACGTAATATTTTATTTGCATTATTTTCCAACAATCCTGTGAAAGCAGCTGACGTCAATCAACATATATATAAAGTATGATAGTGTAGGTACGATACGAAATTTCTGAGGTCATTTGTCTTGCTGATGTTGCACTTATTCATGTCAGGCTTCATCGAATTTGCTCTGTTCGGTACCAAAATCAAAACCTAATCAACCCGCAATTTCTGATCCGCAATAGCTCGATTCAGCTATCTGTATCTTTAGATGAATTGCTTGACCGTTGTGTGTTAAATTTTAGTTCATTGGCTTTAGGAATAAGGTTCAAAATGGTATGATACATTATTTTGTTGTCAAATTTTAATGGTGCGTGGTATCTTGCTTGGTATGCGTCTCACGTGGCGGCCGAACTTCATCGTGCATTCTAATAGATAGCTAATGACGATGTTTTGGGCAGTAAATGGATACTTTTATTTGAGCATCGGCTTCTAGTGTTGTTTAATATTCAAAGTTTAGGGGCGGTTAGTTTAGGGGAAACAATTGACCATTTTGAACAATACTTGCATGTTAAGTTTTTGTCGTTTAACAAAAATAGAGACGTCAATTTCAGGCAAAGACCGATATAGTAATCTAATCGAAACAAGCTAGGATTTAAAATGTATTGATAAGTGGCTGTTCATGGTTCCTACGATAGTAACTCACATCTATTGCAATTAGTGTTATTATCGCTATTAACTAGTAATGTAAATAGTAAATAATTCATAGACAAATATTATGTATTACCTTACGTACCTATGTAATGCGACTGGCATCACATTAACGATTCATTTAATTGCTCTGAGAATTGTAACATTCAAATGTTTGTGCTTGAAATACAATTGCCTATGTGAAAGGACGTTGTTCCATTCTATATTAACCTCTCGAGCGTCTCGTACACGGGTTTAATAGAAAGCGAATTAACTATACTGTTCAATCAAATAAAGAACGGGTTGCAACTTGAAAATATACATCACAGAAAATGTTTCCAATCGGTGCCAGTCACTCTCGTACACCCGTGTGTACAATTGCGGCGATGGGCACTCAACTCTCTCGTTCACCCGTGTGTACTAGAAACGCGCGAGAGGTTAATTCAGGAAAATTATTGGTTATGTAACATTAGCTATGACATGACCCGACAGGACTTGAGCAATTATCATATATTGTATATTAGAGAGAGTTGATTCTAATTTCGAAAGAAAAATCTATATGTGGTCACTAAAACTAAAACGAACATGCTCTTTGTTTTATAGTGTTATCATGTAATATCCATTAACATTTGTTCATATTTGTTCAAAAAACTGCCAACAAGTTTTTTACAGCAACCAAATTAAACAAAAATCCAACCTATATATCCACACTTGCTACAAAATGGAGCAATACACGAACAATAAAAACTTACGGAATACTGTAAGCTGTTTTTCAGTGGAAGCTTTAGTGAATATAGGAGTGTCGAGTGACACCTCGCACGAGTAGCTGCCACTCGCAGCGAAATCCAAGTTCTGTAGGATTATAGAGTTTTCCGTAGCTAAGGCGATCTGAAATGAAGCAAACAAGTCAATTAGTTGCAGATAAAGACGCTCACTGAATTTTAATAGAATGCCGGCGACCGTTGCAAGAGTATCGTTTGTGGAACCGTTAATTGAAAGAGGTTTTACATTTTTAAGAATAGTGTTCTATAGATTTTGTTTAAGTAACATTATTGCTATTTGGTCGTAAGTGGGTCTGCTTAGCTGGGTTTTATTGTCGGTTAGAGGTATGAATTTTGCAGTGGTAAACAAAAGGTATCTACCAACGTAATTTGAATTTGTGTCTGGTTAACTACTAAATTATTTAAAGCTTCTCAGGTTTATTGTTGTAGTGTAGATACCTAAATAAAATATATTTTACTCAATCAGAGGGATATGGCAATAGGCTCACCCCCTATTACATGGGACTTATAACATAAATAGTAAAAAGTGGGTGTTACATTGTACAGTGGCATTAAGTGTCGAAATGTGCACCTCTGCCTACCCCTTTGGGGGATAAAAAGGCGTGATGTTATGTTATGTTATGTCATTCAGAGGGAAACAAAAAATCGACTACCAACGGGAGAGCAAGATAAGAGAGACAATATAATACCTACAAGTGGGTGCTTTGTCGATTACCATAATCTGTACACACCGTCACGTCTGAAGATAAAATTCGCTGGTTTTGTATACACACACACACCGATATCTAAGACAGCTTAAATTCAGACGGAGCCGTAAATATTTGTTTGTGTAATTTGCGAAAGTGTTTAAAACCATGGTGGTATTAGTCATGGTACTAGGTACAACATAATATGAATATGGGTCGAAGAAAAGTTTGTTTCCAAAGTGGTGTTATCAGATTGGGGTACAACATGTATGGCTCAATCTGACGACCCTTCCACGAATTTGTTGTGGTCGTTATAAAAGGCGAATGTCATTAAGTTAAAAGGCGAGCCACACGGAAATATTCAAGCTTACAAGGATGGTTCAACAAGTGGCCAGGGCAGTACTTATTATGATTACGTGTTTCCAATAGAATTAGGAATGTGGGAATATGTAAGTAGTTATTCAGGTGAATCGATTTCTTCGAGCTTTGCCTTGAATTTGTGGCTCGTCGAATGTTTTTTAACTTTTTTTCTTTAGATATTGGACGGTCAGTAGGGCACGTAAATATTTTTGAACTGTATAAAGACGTAGATATAGTAGACGAAGAGAGTTTAGTATTTTCATTTTTTTTATATAATCTGATAGAACTATTGGTTAATAAGAAACTCGTTATTTAGTTCATATTATAAAAATTAATTATAATGGAGTATCCTTTCGTTCAGCAGTCGCACTAATGATCATTAAACTCACAGTTAAACACTTAATGAATGTATAATCTTTTAAATATTTTATCAATACACCAACTAGTTGGTTTCACCTTTCTTTTGGTAAACTGCATCATTATTTCTACCTCAATATACTATAAATCAAATGATTGAAACATGAAACTGTTGTAAAATTTACCCTTAACCTCCTACCTCCAAACATACAGGAAATGAATCAATAGCCGAGTCGTTGGTATGGTATACCAATGAGATTTTGGATTCTGTAACCTCGATTCGATATTTAGGCCTTTAGACAATTCACTCGTATTCGTATGTGTACAGAATTTGCTAGATTGACCTGGTAGTGAGGTCGACCTGTTACGCCCTCCTGCGGCGAAATGGAACGAGCAATGTGCATGCAATGCAACCACCTAAGGCACGCCGAATTAATTTAAGTGCGCTTTTACATTAGGTGCATACTGTCTGCTGTTAGCACACGTAGCTGCCTTTATTATTACTCTATGCGGAGACTATGAACGTGCGACTGTGGATACAGCAGCCGAGTAATTAACTGGAAATTATATCTGAGTACTCGTCACCTAGTCTTACTTAATGATGTTTGAGTGTGTGCACTAGTAGTAAGTAATAGTCTCTAGTGCGCAAGAAATTTGGCGGAAGGTTAGTTTTCCATGGGTAACTTCTTCTGGGATATCTGTCACCAACATAAAACACTAACACATTAACCAATTTTATAGTGTCTACTATGGGGCAATATAAGACCAAAGTTCAACAACTACGGCACAGTTCAGTATATAATTTAAAAGATAAGCGTTGAAAATTACATTTAAACTAAAGTTTGCGAGAGTAGAACAACCCCACGCAAAGCTGGGGGAAAATAATATTCAATAATGAGATAATGAAACTTGCCAAGTGTTCTTCACGGTTGTAAAACAACTTGTATCACGCCTACACCTCACAGATGAGTTAAATATATTTGCTTCTATTTTTGTATTATGTACACAAGACGTAGGTGATAATAACTTACGCAGCACTAGCGGATTTATATTGCGAGAGTAGATTTATAATGGTTAGTACGCAACCCACATTTTCTGTCGTAAATAAATCGGAGAATGTCTTTCATAAGGATACGTGAACAATGTCCCGGTTGGCTGGCTTGAATCGACGACAGAAAAGCGTTTAATTCATTAAGATCTATACAATTAGACGGTGAACTAGCGAAAAGGCGCCCGAGGAAAACCTTCCTGTATGGTGACCAATATTTCCTTTTATAACGGATATTTTGATCACACGATATTTTTAAGAATTTATTTTGTAGCTTTCGGATATAATTATTTTAGTTTCGTGAAAACGCTGTATAGCAAGATTTCTGGGAAACTTGTACCTAAGTAAACATCAAATATCAGGTAAAAATGACTTAAACTTATTTATAGAGATTCATGAATTTTTGTTTTACGTGTATAGTTTTGGAATTTAAATGTCATTTTATACTATTCGATATCCATTCCTTACAGTTAACATAAAAGTAAACAAAGACACTGAAATATCGAACCAGAGCTTCCGATGTTTTGCGAATGGGTATCGATACGAGGTTGTAGTGTGAGTTAACCTTGTGGTTGGGCGATGGGCTACCATTACTAATGCATCGGCGTTATCTTGACCCAACATCAATTGTTGAGTACGGCTATAAGCGGTTATTGCTGATAGAGGGAGCTACAGTAACAACGTAACTATACAAATGCATTACTACGTTGTGCACATACTCGTTGACATACCGGCCGGTAACTATATAAAGCCGGCACGGTGCGGTGCGTCAATTGATGTAAATTCACCATTATTTTCATGTGTAATCATATTACCTCTCGTATGAAGTTTTCATGTAAGCTTAATACTTTTAAACGCATTTTTAGCTCACGGTTTCGGCTGCAAATTGGATTTATTGTAGACTCTTGTTAATAATTCTCGCAGTTCTATATTCGTAGAACTTGCAAAAGCTCTTAAGGATTAGTGGCAATATTTTGAGTATTCTAGTAAGCTTAAAATTACTTGCATTAACTCGTCGAATACCGTCATTATAGACGCAATTAAAGAACAATAGGTTGCGGTCACCGGTGACCGCTTGGTGTTTGACAGTTTAAGAGATAGTAATCAATAAAACACTTTCATATTTCTTTTTAACTATTATGAATTTCGGACATTATGTATGAAGTACTGACAGCTAATTAAAACAGAATACATTTGGAAAGGTATTCAAGTTAAATTGTCAAACACCGCGAGCAAACCGCGAGGACACCGGTGACCGCAACCTATTGTTCTTTAATTGGTCTATAATGACGGTACTCAATGAGTTAAACGTCAACTTCCTATTAAATAGAAAACAGTTTTGTTTCAGTGATCCTACAGCATTAATACTGTAATAAGTACTAATGCATTGTTGTCGTAACTCCGTAAGCTGTGTGATGACCCTTTCTCGTATCGTAAGATTTTACTAAAAGACCACTAGTAATCTCACAGGCTGTTGGTGTTATTTCGAAATTACTAAGCAGATACAGCATAAACGAATCAGTGATATAAGACTCGATCCAGCCAAAGTGAAATCGTGTGGTAACCCTAAGGCAACGTTGACCCGGAAAATTAACTCCGCCCGAGCCATTACCCAACTGGCACCTACGTCTGTAAATTTTTAAGGCACGTTCACATATTCAGGATCACTGTAGAAAGTGAAAAATATAAGAGTAATCTTGAGTAATACTCTTTTTATAAATATTGTACGATCACCTGGATTATACATACTTTACAAATGGGTGCACCTACTGAGTGAGATTTGACGATAGACGACGAAGTTTGTTATGTTTCAAAGACAGATATATGATTACAATAATTATCTAAATACTGTTAATATTTAGACAGATACACAGCAATAATAGACGTATTTAGCAGTAGCTAACTAATCTTATCAATTTTAAATTTTGTTTTGCGACGTGCATTTGTGGTGATTAAAGTTCTAGGTCAGTTTTAGCTTATCATTAAAACGTTAGTGATACGTAGACATGTACTGTGTTTTGCTATTTAAATTGTACATGTAACTTCTATATTAGATTCATTTTGAATAGAAGCACATCTTCATTTATAAAGGAGCAGTAACCAGAGACGATTGAAATTTTAAACAGTAGGCATGTTCACTTCATTACTGGGATTTATCAAGGTTTGGACGAAATGCGAATATCAAAATTTCGAATTTAAATGTTTTAATTAAATCTTACACGTCAATAATTGCAGCGCGACTCATAATTGGCGGTTGTATCTCACACAAAATCTACGCCAGCGATAAGTAATTAAAATGTTTTCAGTTTTAACATTTCAGAATATTGCAATCATATACTGTCACCGGCTTAATTCCGGTTCATCGATCCAACTGGCGATTAATTCAGTAATATCCGCTCATGCGGTGCCGAACTTTTATGTGAGTTTGATAACAAAAACGCTGTGTTATCATTTGCAGACTCGCAACTAGTTATATTGATGTTACCTAGTCTACGTAGACTGACACAGCAGCGTAGGAAATTGCTTCCATCTAAATATAGATCTAAATTGGTCTGGACCTTTGATTGAATTGAAGTAAATTATTGACGTGTACATCTTTATGTTCGTTAGTACCTAAGTACATACATACATATTTGTATATACCTACATTTTACGTATGTTATTTGTCAACTACACAAGTTTAATATGTTTAAAAATTAGACAAGTTACAGATATGATTGATATCGGTGTAGATTAAATACTATTTGTTGATAAATTTTGGTTTTAGTCTCTAAAATTGGCTTCCTCAAACGTAACTGACTATTGGAATATTACTAGCTTCACTGTTTCTTTTAAGGGGGGAAAATCATCGATTGACTGCTCCCGCCTGGGTGAGGCGGGAGGGAGTGTCAGACTCTTACTGACTAAAAACCACCCCGTTCCTTCTCCTGCACGTCGAGCCGGAGCCCGTACCCGTTAGGTTCTCATGGGACGTATGGAGTAGGAAATATACACAAATTGATAGGAAAATACTTTATTAAAAATATTCTAAATTTTGATTTAGTCATTGTAGGCTTAGGACGTACGTAAGTACATACAGAGACTTAAGACCCGTACAAAGAAAAAGTGCCATTCTCGCGAGTTCGACCGGAGATTGTACGCCGTCTCCGGTTGAACTCTCGTAGAGAGTGCTTTAATCAAAGAAAGCGGAACTGAAATATTTTTTTCTAGACAAGGAGTTGGCACGTTACAGTTCTTTCGTTATTTTTACATTGTAGTTGGGCCTGCTTTACTGCTGTAGTTTTTGTTAAGTAACACTAAAATCTTATTAAACCTACAATTTATTATTTGCTACTTCTATAACAATAGTCCTAACTTGAGTCTTAAGCTATAATTACATTCCTTTAAAAATTCAATTCCTATTTCGAGGGAAAAATGTTCAGCAGACACACCCACCACGGTACAAATAAATTTTCATACAAACCGCAGTAACAGTTTAGAACAAAAGTAGCCATTGTTTTGAATATACGTGTTCTTATGCCGGAGTTCAACACGTATCTGGCTCAAAGTGCTCGTTTGTTAGGCTAAAACTTGCATAAAGTAATTAATTAAGTTCCTAAGTGAGTTAAATAATAGTGCAGCCGGTGAAGCTACGATTTTTTCGTACAATTTTAGGTGTAAAATGTTTCAACGTGGCAATTTTGTAAATATATCGTGCCGGTTCCTTTATGGGTATTTTTTTTATTAAATTATGGGTATATGTACTATAAATTGGCAGATATTGTTAAAGTACTTATATAATACTTGCTACCCTAAATATCACAGAGATAAGTCCAGTGTGATGTAGGTGTTTCATTAAAAAATGTGACAGTCCACTATTGTGAAAATATGACGTATTCTTACTAGGGGCAAATAAATAGTGAATAATAGGTTTATTTAATATGATGTTGGCCCAGACAGGGCGAGTATTATGATAGCCGAGATGAAATCTGGGCAATGATAACACTAGTTCCCCCAGTCGATTAATTAGGCGTGCAGTTTACTGTTACCTTTGTTTGTGGAGGCTTTGAGTCGGTCATGCAAAATGTACGCTTTGGTGCGACTGTACGTTTGTACCTCTATTCATTACTGTGACTGAGTGGAAGCTCTGCAGATCAGCGCCAGTTACTTTACATGACGCTTTCTCATAAATATGTATTGTAGACAGAGATACCTACGACACAATTGAGAAAATATTCTCACAATAATATAACTATGACATTCAGAGACAATGCGTGTAACTCGTCTAGTTTTGGTTGAGCTTGAGATTGAAGACAATGTTTTTGTTTACAGCTAAGCATTTTTCTTTTAAGTAGATAAAGTATGGGACAAGCAGAAGTAGTACATCTATAGGTACATTTGCAATCCTCACACCTTGGGTAGGTTCCGAAATGTCAGGACATAAATAGATGTTCATACATAAGATTATTAAAAGTTTATTATATTTAAGAAGTAAAATATAAATGCTAGGTATAGCTACTTGCAGCTATTCAAGCTTAGAGTATATTCATTATTCACTTACGTTGAGCACGGCTCCGGGCGTAGTAAAGTTTCTATAAGGCGGTTTCCGGTCCCTAATGTACTGGAAGATTTTGGTGCCGTGTCGGAGGAAGACCACTTTGTCAAGGAGATGGGGCGGCACGTCGTGCACGCAGCGGAGCCGCACCGAGCCGCCGCGCGCCGCCCACCGCTCCATTTGTAACTCCACGCGCACCTCCGCGTGCCCACGTACTGGAAACATACACAACCTCTATCACTACTTTACCACCGACGAAATAAATGTTCACATAATCTTAATGTTACATTTAGGTCTAACAACAACCTACACACAAGGTACAAATATACTTAGCGTGTTATGTACCTCTATATATATATAAAAGAGTTCAAATATAAGTAAGTGATCCTCGTAATATTACCCGGGTTTACTTTCATACACAAAACATGCAACTGCTAAAATATAGGTGAGCAGTGTGTAGGTACTTGTGTGGGTAATCCGAGGCGCGGCTTGCACGCACCCGTCACAGGCACAACAATGTTGTTTTTATGACGTTTGTCACGTTTTTCAGAAATTGCGTCGGCTCCCTTCTGTTCCCACGATCCAAGGAAACCCATACCATTTTCCACGTTTTATTTCCATTGTATTTTGAACTCTTTTTACTTAGATGTAAAGTTCTAGGTACCTAGTTGTTTGGTATTAGGAAAATGTGTTTTTGTTAGTAACAATCTTGGGTGCGCCTCAGTAAACTCAAGGTTCCTGACAACACATTTTATACCCGGTGCTATTGTGTGGTGGGTAATATGAGAGTGAGAGGCACAGAAGGACAATTATAGTAATAACTGTCGAATGTAAGTTTACGTTCATGAGGATCCGAGCCGCGGTTGTTTACGCGCAGGTTTTGTTATCTGATTGCTATTGATGGCGCGGTGTAAATATTCCGACGTCGTATTGTGTTCGTAGGCAGGTAGTCACCCACACTATACTCTGCAACGATTTCCGTAATCCGAACGTGGGAAGAAATGCTGATGAAATATAATGTGCAATCAAGTGAAATGGAAAAGCTCCGTGAAATAGCTCGCATCCTTCTTGCGTGCTATAAACCATTTCCGTCAGTTTTATGGTTTGCACGTTTTATGATTTTCACCGCTACATTGCAACTTTTAGTTGGTACGCCGAGGTACAAAATTAGAATAGAAGACATTGCCTAATCATTTTAATATTGGAGTTAAAAATGGAAATCAACAATGGCAAATTTCTACTCGACTAGACAGAATCATGTTTAAAAGCAATAAACCTAAAAAGCTAGTCCTTGAATAAACAGTCGTCTACGATAAATTGGACATGTTTGTTTTTTAATTAGCATAAAATGAGTAAGACAATAATTAATGTAATAATATGTAAACATAGACTGAGTCGAGTCGAAAGTAACAAAATATTATTAGTTTACTGTGGCGACTGAACGTTCAGGTGAGTTACCCCATTCAAGAGGATGGGTTTGCCTTAGCAGTAGAATTCAAGAAGTTTACTGAAAAATATTTTTTATTTAAAGGCCAGCGACCCAAGTTAATCCGTAGCGACGGCGACGGTGCGTGGTAAATGAAAACATATATTATTACAAGTTTACGGCCAAAAAGCGTTTATAATACTTATGTATTTAACATGATTAGGCATTTTTGGGAGATGGGCAGACGCAACGAGTCCGTTTACTTTTAAGAGTAAACAGTCATGTTAAGTTTTCGAGTTTCTCTTACGACCCTTAATTTTCTCAAGCTTCGCCCCAAGTATGATCTAATAATAGATAGGTACTGTATAGAGATATGTGCACATGTTAACATCTGAAAACAGCAGTTGAAGACCAAGCCATAAATAAGTACCTAAGCCAGGAGCACCTCAATTGTAGAGGTGAACACAAATATAAGTGCTAAACGTCGCAAGTCGCTTGTGAACATAATTACAATAACTTCTCATGAATGTCCGCTATGTGACATAGGGAACTATGAAAGAGAGCGCTATTTTTCTTCACTTATGATACCCACCAGGTAGCTATTCTTTAGTCTATAAATATAAGGTCGACTATGCGTGACCAGGGGGTTTTCGTTTGTCTGTTATAAAAATTACCCTGAGTTATTAGCTCATATTATAAACATGACGTGACAATGGCACTTATTACTTTTTGGCTTAGATAATGGTATTCACACTTAGCTAAATTAAAATTGATCACACATTGTTATTGGGTTATTCGTACTATTTTATTTAGGCCTATAAACTAGTTTTTTAAATGAGACTAATGAGTTTTCGTATCACTTTAAGTACATACATATAATGCTTAGGTATATCTGCTTCAAGAAATGATATTTAATAATTTTAATATATTTACTAACAAATGCCACACAGAAAGAAAATACCTTGAATACTTACTAAACGTATTTTTTCTTTCCGGCAATTAATCTAAAATGCAGCTTGATCTGTTTTTGCAAATAAAATGATGTCTTCTTTTAGTATATTGTCCATTTATGTGGCACTGTCTTGGGTAGTGTGAGCACCTAGCACCCAGCACCTATACAAAAACTAAACGAAGTTACATTATTCTGTTATGTTGAAATGTATCTTGTAGGTAAATCAAATTAGAATAATCTTTAGAAGATTAACCATTCTATATCGAGTTAGACGAACTGTTTGCTTGTAATCAAAAATTTAAACAATACCAGTAATGAGGACGCAGAATGCTAATCTCGTTATGTTTCTTTTTTGTGAATATTTAAAACTTGTTAGCTGGTGGTTGTTGCCCGCCACTTCTTTTACATAATGCAAAGCAAGACTCGCCGAGAACCACAAAATATCCTGTCTTAGTGCATGCTGTGAAGTTTATTTTAAAGAAAATTTTTGTTTATCCTCATAACTTTGGCTTTTCATTTCAATTCGAAAAGAAAGCCTTCATTTTTAACACAAGTAGGTATTTATTTATCTTGATTAGAGTAACATGAACGACGCGATCCGAATCTCCTTTTTGAGTAAATAATCAACGATTACACGCAAAATGAAAATAAAAGGTTAAATTAGTTTGGTAATCAAGGGGCCGCGTAACGTAATACCTACATGTATGGAATATCAGAGTAGGTATTATCAATTGTTTGATAATACCTACTCTGATATTCCCAGTATGACACGTATGCGTTTCAGTTTACTAATTCACAATAGCTCACGCCACTGCAGCGCATTCCAAAGGACCAGTTGCATTCATTCGGCATGTCAAAGGATTTAGTAATTCATCAATCTACATAAATGTGTGCTTCAAAACTCCAATAGGCTACTAAAGGCATAACTCCGTAAATCCGTAACAAGAGTTCCGGTACAAAAGGACCGGCTCGACCGGAGTGATACCACTGCCTCACAGAAAATCGACGTGAAACAACACTTGTGTTTTGTTGTGTAAGTGAGGTTACCGGAGGCATAATCTCCCCAATCCCCGAATCTCCAACAATCCTCGAATTCCTAATCCTCAATAGGCCTGCCTATATACTTCAATAGGCAGGTATCGCATTTGTAACACCTCTGGTGTTTTGGGTGTCCATGGGCGGCGCCGATTGCTTACCATCAGGTGATCCGGCTGGTCGTTTTTATGTTCCATATAAAATATTTCGGTACATTTTAAGAGACAGTCTTCATTGAAAGTATTCAAATTTACAAAGATACTGGACGTAAAGTTCATGTCTTATTTAGTGCTTTACAATGGCTTTATCAGTTCTATGCTTCGATATTCAGTTCTGAAAGGCCTGCTCTTGTGTTGTAATGCCCCAGCCTCACAATCACAAACTTGTAATTGTTTCACAATATAATTTAATTCTGTTTGCACCATTGTTTGAGCATTATTGACGTGGTCTATTATTTGTGCTAGCGTTACCTGACACCCTTTGATGTCGACCTGTGTCTGTGCTGAGTTGTCAGTGGGCACGTTTACTTATATGTTTAGTGACAAGTGCTGTGAACGTGCACAAGACAGTGATAAATGTGGGCCAGTGTCGCCAGGACAAGTGTCGTGTTCTCACTGTCCTATAATCCAACATTAGTTCCTTGTGTTACCGCTTCCAGCTTTCTGCTAAGTCAGCTTATCTCGTACTGTACTCACGTTGAATTATAAATAAACTCGAACAACTTCTCAGATGAACATACGAATGTTATTTTTCAACTCAATGTATGTTCTTACAAAAGTTTCATAAGCAACGAAAATGCTCTCATGTTACAAATAACGATTCTTATAATAATAATAATAAAGTTGATGATGAGTAGGGAAAGTTAAAGTTTTTTTTTGTTAAAATCATATGATATAAAAATAGCCAATCAACCGAAGTTTGTGGTTATAACTTCTTACACGGAAATATAATACAACTTGTAAACTGTCGTAAACTAAACGACACAAGTTTTGTAACAAACCACTACGGGCACGTACCACGATTTCTTCGCCCCCAACTATCAGTTGTCATTCGAATTTGAATAGTTTACTATCTTCTATCTCGGATACTATCATAAGTAACATTTCTTCTGTCTAGACATAATTTGAACGAACGAGTATCTTATCGCACTAATGTTAGTATAAGTTGTCAATAAACTTAGATTTGATGAATGTTGGACGCTTGATGGTTAAGCACGAGTTATGATTAATCGGAATAATAAATCAAACAGTCTACGTGTAAGTTTGAATCTGATAAAGTTGGGAGCCTGAGCTCCGCAACTTTTAAGACATTTCTCCGATTTAAAAAAAAAAACATTATAATTATTATGTAGCTTACAGTACAACAAAACACACAGTGTACCTTTGTAATCTCTTTATCTGATAGATTGAACAAATACTGTTTGTTTTTACGGGACATTTTAATGTCGTTGGCACAAATTATTCATAGGCTGGTGTATACTTATGAACACAATGGCTGAAGGTTTTTCTCTAATGAATTATAAAGGCACCCGGTACAGAGCACGTGGATTTAATATTCTATACAATAAAACACGGCACAATCGTAAAACCTTTCTGGTTTCATTAAAAGTGTAATTTGTTGTTTTGGAACCACTTAAAAATACTTTTGTGAGAAAAAATTGCCTAAAGGTGATATTTATTCAGCAATAAAATGGTTCATTAATAAAAAGGCTATATGAGTTTTGAAGAGAAACGTAATAAAAATACGTTTCTTTTTGTAGTCGCTTTTTTAATTCGAGTTTGAATAAACTATTGGTAACTATTGGTTAGCATAACGAGTTTTTGGTAAACATCTGAGTTTTTCATTTTGAATTCCTTGAGTGGATGAGCTAGAAAGCATGAGCCTTGAAGTCGGCGGAGCTTGAGTTTTATGTAGCAGTGAAAGGTTGAATGTAAAGAACCTTATACTAAGTAGATGGTAACAAATTCCCAGTAGGTTGTTTGTGCTTTCCTTCAGCCTACACTTAGTGTACACGTGCTCGAATCACACGTACGTTTGATTCGACCCATTTCGCACACTCATTTATAATTTAAAGATCAATGTCTCTCGCCACCAGGTTACATGTAGTGCATATCTATACACGTCATACAGAAGAATACATATTTTACAATCTAATAATCATACGCAAGTATAATATCACTTAT